TCAGACTTTCTTCTAATAACTTTTAAATACATCCAGCATTTAAATTTCCAACGGTAAGTCTGTTCTGTTTGCACACAGATTCACAAGCAGTTCTGATGAGATCAACTCCAAATTTTTATAGCAACATCAGCTCTGATCTAGTGAAATCAGCATACATAAAAGGAGAGCATCAATTTAATCAGCAAAGGCATGAAAATATTTATAATATTAGAATATAATATATAAGTATTGTTATAATATTAATAATTTCTCACAATATTTAATATAAGGTAAGATAATTTTCAAATCTAACAGCTGGTTTATTATGACATGGCTGAATTGTTTTATGCTCATACTATCACCTTATATAATATTAGTGTTTAGGAATCCAAACAAGACTGAAAACATGAAGGTGTTTGCACTTCCCTCTCTTACTCATTGCAATTCCCTCTCTTATTCTGTCTTTGATAACATCAGTGTTTTATGTCTAATGTAATTTTCCAGAGATTTCTATGAAGAATTTTGAAATTTCAAAGCAATGGTTCAGTTTGGGAAAGAAAACATTGGAAATTAGTCTTTCTTGAGAAATACTGATTTTGAGTTTTGACAAACTCACTTTTTTTCTAGCTCAGGGATCAGTTAATCTGTTTTCCTCAGAAGAAGATTCAACAAAACTGCAATAACATGGTCTATACCCTGCCTTTTTAAGAAATGTGTCTATAATTGAAATCTTTCAATATCATTCAGTTTTTCTTTTTATGCCTTGATAGCTGGTCCTACAGAGTCATCCATTCAGTCCTGTATCAGGTCTGGTAGTCTTTCATCCAAGCATGGCAAGAGGATTCAAGTTTTGGTACAATCTAAACCAAAAAATGCTACTTTTTTTGAATTGAACACTCTCACTTTTTAAAATAAACTCTGCCCAGATTTAAAATTTTGTAGCGGATTTGTATGATTACGTTCCTGTGGATGGATTTACTCTCCTAGAGCAGAGAAAAACTGAATGTGTGCTTGGCTGCTATGGGGCAGCTATACCCTACGTTTTTAATCAAAGCACATCCTTTTTCAACTTTGATGTTGGAAGAAAAAAATACTAGAAAGATATTAATTGCTAGAAGCACTTAGTAGACTTTCCTTTTGCATTCACGTGAGTGACCACAGTACATGTAGAAACCAGCTTCATCCTGTGCACATTGTCTGCTTTTATATCTCTGGGAGCTATTTCTGCCTGAAGAATGTGTTCCTAGAGTACATTTTCAGAGGTTCTTATCCTACAAAGTGGGTACAGATTTCTACCCTAGCCATTTTTAGAGTAAAACACAAAACAGATTTGACAAAACCAGTCCTGCAGAAATTCACCTATGTTTTTCAATCTCTCCATCTTCATTAAAAATGAAAATTATGAAAAGAATTAGGTGTATTGTCACTTCAAATAAAAATGACATTTTTTTTCCTACAGCCTCAATCTTAGTTTTAGTCAAAAATTCTCAAATAATCAAATATACAAATAATATTTTATGTCAGGTCAAATGAAGCATTTAAACTGATCCAAGACTTTTTTTTTTACGTCTCAGAACTCAAATGACTTCATTTATTTTCTTGAAATGACAGCAAACAAACAGAAGCAAACCAGAATTTCACATAACTTTCAGCTCTAGTTGAAAATGAACTTAAAATATAGAGAGTTTGGACAAGACAGTGAATGACCTTCAGTTCCAGATAATATTCCTTCTTGGCTATCTTCCCCAAAAGATTTGATTTTGCCTTTTCAGCCTCAGTTTTACTTCTCTTGTATTTATTATTTGATAAAGTGCCAGTAAATATACTTGTAGATCAGCAATACACCAAAGATTATTTTCTTGCTGTGTTAGTTGGATTCTTAAGCTGCTTGTGGTTTATTTCGATGCTGAAGTAGATTTTATTCTGTCTGTCTGGGATATATCACTGCTACAGCTCGAGTGCCATAAGCTGTGTGCACAGAGGAGGCTAAAGCATAATTATCATTGTAGGTATAGGGTGTTTTATCTGATGCTCTCCTCCTGGTTAGTCTTATTATTTCCGGACACAAATCTAACCAAATTAATTACTGATGCAACAATCCAACATCAGGGCATGTAACATGTGCTTAACTTATCTGCAGGACTTTCATTTTAAGATTAAAATTCAAATATTAAAGGTCTTTCCCTTGACAGGCCCCCTGATAAGGAGAAGATGCCTTGGAACACAGTAGTGCTTGTGTGGATGCCAGAACTGAAGCCCTGGCTGGGTCTGACACAATGCAGCGGGACAGGTTTTTCTCTGCTCTGGAAGCAGAGTTCAGGCATTTCTCAGAAGCCCTCCTCTATCACTGCTTTCCTAAACAATTATTTACTTTGAGCTAACATTGAGCTAACATAATGTTGTATGTTTTGGAGAGAGTATTTAGAATGCAGTGATTAGGAGATATGTTTTCTGCTCCCTTGTAAGGCGAGGCTGGGGCAAATAAATGGAATTATCTGATTGCAGAAGAATAACCATCTCAGCCCCTCTGGCCTTTCTGAGAAGAAGGGAAAGGTTTTCTCACCTCATCTACACTTCCTTCTTTAACCTCTCTGTGTAACTATGAATAGCTGTAATATGTCAAAAGCCAGAGGTGACAGCCCAGGCAGCGGTTCAGGTATTAAACTGAAGGAACATTACATTAGCATTTTAGCCAATTAACATGGCTGTAGGGGGGGCCATCTGGAATAAATCTGCAAAGCAAACAGTTAACAGAAACCCAGCAGGCAACTCTATGGATTGCTGTATTTGTATGGTACTTCATTAGAAAATAAACATATATCTTCCATCTCAAGCATGAAGCAAAAACAGTATTAAACCAGATTTGATAGTTAATACAGCTGTCTAACTAAATGACATATTTGTAAGAGTTGTGTGAAACACTGCAAGGAAAAGGTTGTGAAAACTCAGATGCTGGCACAGCCAAAACAACTGCTCCTGAGTTAATGTAGGGATATATCTTCCTCTGGTTTGCACTTGCAAAAGCCTGCTTTGATAACATTGCTAATATCACCTTCAGGATGCAGAGAAGGAACAATTCATGCATCAGCAAACTGCAATGAACCAGTCAGCTTTAGCCTGCTTCTGGAACTTCATCCTTTGCTGTGTTTATATTTTTCTCCATTAGAGACCCACAGCAGGAGATGCAAAATTCGTCATCACTAGGTTATTCCTGCCAAGGGTTTCCTGAACACACAAGGCTATAGCATAGAAATGTTGGACCAGGCTAGTATTGGCGCTTCAAGGATTAACCATGTATCTATCCTCTTCCTCCTTAAGGCCAGTTCTGTATTCAGAGGATACCATCAAATGCACAGTCACAACTGTTAAGATGGACTGAGTTTATCTTTGAAACCATAACAGCAAAAAGCACCAGAGATTCCCACAGGAGACACTGAGCAGCTTTAATCTGCTGATGGACACCTCTACAAGGACTGGTGTATCAGCTAGCAGAGCTCACCACACCTCTGCCCAGACTGGGAGCAAAACCAGGACTTCACAGAACTCTGCCACATGCTGGTTCCTGTGAGACCCATGGCAAAACACAGGGAATCTGTTTATCAGCCAGCTGAGAAATTAGCAGTGGTAAGTGTACCAACACAATCAACAAATATGTGGCTCATGGGAAATGCATATTTTATATCAGAACAAATGGCATTTCTGCAACCAGTGTACACAAGTATACAGGAAAATGGATTACTTGTCACAAAAGCACCTGCTATTACAAATATGGTATTTTCAAACTAATCAAATTTTCCTGTTGTCTATAAAAAAAGATCTCAGCAATTAGTGTACCAACTACAATAATATAACTAGCTGCAGAACATTCAAACGAACTTCCATTTGCCAAGTGTTGTTAAGATCTGTAAATAATGGGTCTAGGTAATAGTGTAGGATTAAACCACTTTTAGCTGGTTTGATGCCACCTGATCTTTTCTTCAGAGAAAGAAAAAGCACTAATATGGCTAGGAAGAAAAATGTAACATTTAACATGGCTCTCTCTAATTAGCCCTGCTAAGAAACCATCCAATGGAGCAGAACAGCACACATCTGCACCTAGCAAGCTCTGGACATTTAGTTCAGGTATCATGATGCAGTGGCCCTTTGTGCTGTAGAGATATGGCATACACCATAATGATGTTTATCAGCCTGCTCACGCCATAATTAATTATGGAGCTGTTCTGAAGACCAGGGCTTTTGGAAATATACAGTGATGACAATTAAAATGTTGGCATTTGTCAACAGTTACTTCACCTCAGGCACTACCTAATAAGTCACAGTCTGCTGCATACATGGAACTGAAATAACCATGGTAACTCTGGGTATATAGTGACATTTTAATGATCACTACCATCTATCCTCAGGCCATCAACTTGCAGAACTAAATGGCCCATCAAGAAGCAGATGAATAAAGTGCCGTCCATACAATGTATGAAAAATGTTAAGCACTTTTAGGGATTAAAGCCATTTATATCTACCTCAGAAGGGAAAAAGGAGAGATAAACATAATAGAAAAGCATGTATTATGAAGAAATAATGAAACTTCCCCATCCTACTGCAGCAAATGCCACTAAAATGTCAGTATCTACCAATAGCTAGCAGAAATTGGTATCTAAGATACCAAAATTATTTCCTATTTTAAGTATAAGTGCCTCTTACTACATACTGACTTTATAAATGGCAGCAGCAATATCAAAGGTCTTTCATGCTCACTCACTGCCTAACCGCAGTAGGAAAACTATCACTTATAAACCATAGCAATTCTCAAGGAAAGAAGGGGATGCAATACAGTAGATTATTAGTACCGTCATACAATCTGCCAAAAGATGGCAGAATCCTCTATTTTGCCATTTTTTCATCATTATGATGAAAAGTCTGATTTTTTTTTTTGTGTGCAGGTGTGATATTATTTTTTCCATGGAGGATTTGAATATATATAAAATTATCTATAAAACTGTCTTGTACTTAGAATTTTCACTTACCAAAATGAAGAGACAACCAGAGGCAAGTTTTGTGTGTTCAGGAATAGTAGAAAACACGGACAAAATCAAGCAACCAAACACAAGGAGAAAACTGAAAAAGAAAGAATATTAATATTTGTTAATACTTTTCAGAATCCTGACCTAGTATCTATATTGATCCTACTTCACCAATTAATAGAAGACTGCCAAGGAATGCTCTTCATTAATAGAGGTGAATTGAACTACTCACCTTAATTTATTAAAGACATTAGTATAACCTGTTACTAAATCCACATGCTTCCAAGCAGCACTGCTAGAATTAATAAAACAAACATGCTATTTTCTTGGAGAAATGACCCAATATACACAGGTGTTACTTTTGGTACTACAATCCTGTACCTTTATGCAGTCCAGATACCCTTAGTGCCTCTAAAGAAAGATCTTCAATGGGAGAGTCCTCTCCCTGGTCTGAAAAATAATTTCTCCTACAACCGACCAGAAATATCTGCTGCATAAGCTTACCAAAGAGTTAAGTTACATATTGCACCTATCTGTCCATATGAAATTACCTCTTTCTGAGCAACAGATTTCATGTACAAACTACCAGAAGCTGAAAGGTAGCGCTAAGGCATCGTTGCCCTAAATGAACAGGTTCCATTCTGGGAATAAATTAAATGTCGTAGAATCTGTTGAAGGAGTTAAAACAACTAAGAAAGTCTTAGACAAGCCATGCAATTACAATCAGGAAAACAAGACAACAATTTTGAGTTTGCATGAGCCTGTGTGTTTCATGATACTAATGAATACATGCAGGCAAGAAAACCCACCAACATGGTGCTAAATCTTTTTGTGATGACGAAGTAAAAAAAATTGGTATCATTGCAGAAATTCTTGCATATCTCATGTCCAATCATAACAGCATGCAGCACATGTGGTGTTTTCAGATATCAGCCTGCAGAACTGGTGTTGCTCTGAGAACTATACTGTTGATGGTAAGGATTACCCTTTCCTCTTGTACTCTTTCACCACCAACAATACCACTGTGCTAGTGAAACCATCTATGAACTCGATGAGAAAAGAGGTTCATTTCACCCACAGTATCATGAACTGACTAACCAGCAGCCAGTAATAATTGATTCTACCAAAGTTTTGCTAACTTCCTTCTTAAAACACTTAGTCATGCAGGCCTTTGACTTTTATTTGAATTTCTGGGACTCATTACCAGATACTCTAATCCAGCATGAATAGGTACTGTAATTAATGTAGATACGTATCCCTCCCTGCCCTTATCCCAACTCACAAACCTTTTGTTATACTTTCTCTCCCGTGTCCAGCTTAGGACGGGGAATGATAAAGCTACTTTGGTGGGCACCAAGTCTCCTGCCAGGGTTAACAAATCGCACTGTGAAACATCTGTCCCCTAAGATTGCAGAACTCGGCTGAAAAAGGCATGGTCTGACTTTGAGGTGAGCCCTGATTTGAGGAGGAAGTTGGACTGGATGACTCAAAGAGGCCTTTTTCAGTCTAAATACTTCTATTTTTCTAACTACTGCATAGAAACATTAATATATTATGGCATCTGCGCCCACTTGTGCCTCAGGAGCTGCAATTACTTCTACCCATATAACATATGGACTTTCCGTAGTGCTATAAAATAGTAGTGCTGTAATATATCCAATACATTAGATAAAAATATCAGTCCAGTCTTCAGAATTTCTAGTAGAAAATCTCTATGTGCAATGCAATAAGATATTGGAGACACATTTTTGTAGTGTATTACTTAACTGCTGGGGAGAAGTTCTATTCTGAAAATCAAATATGGTAGGAGCTTGCATATAAGTTCTATTAAAGACTGTAAATAAACCAGTATCCAGAAGGGTAAAGTACATATCTGGCACACCCCCTTATCCAGTCTTGTCTTCTAGATTAAGGAAAGGTGAAGATCAGCACATGCTTCAAGGTTTCATAAAAGACTCATTCAAGACTCATGCAATCCCAAGCACAGGCTGGGCAGAGAATGGATCAAGAGCAATCCTAGGGAGAAAGACTTGGAATGTTTGTGGTCAAAAAGCTCAACATAACTTGGCAATGCATGCTCAGGGCCCAGAAAGTCAACTACATCCTTGGCTGCATCAAAAGAAGTGTGGCCAGAGGTCAAGGGAAGGTGATTCTGCCTCTCTGCTCTGCTCTTGTGAGACCCCACTTGGAGAGCTGTATACAGCTCTGAGGCCTCAGTATAAGGAAGATGATGACCTGTTGGAATGTCTCCTTTCCCAGAGGAGAGCCACTGAGTTGATCACAGGGCTGGACCACCTCTCCTATGAACACAGGCTGAGAGAGTTGGGGTTGTTCAGCCCTCCCCTCAGAAAAGAAGGCTCAGGCAAGACATTGTAACAGCCTTCCAGTATATAAGAGGGACTACAAGAGAGCTGGAAAGGGACTTTTTACAATGGCATATAGTAATAGGACAATGGGGAAAGCTTTGAGCTGAAGGAGGGAAGATATTGGTTAGCTATTAGGAAGAAATTCTTTACTATGAGGGTGGTGAGGCACTGGAACAGATTGCCCAGAGAGGAGGTAGACTGCACTTCTCTGAAGGTGTTCAAGGCCAGGTTGGATGGGGTTCTGAATAACCTGATCTAGTGGAAGGTTCTCTGCCCATAGCAGGGAGGTTGGTACTAGATGATCTTTAAAGTCCCTTCCAACCCAAACCATTCTATGATTCTATTATTCTATGATTCTGTGATTCTATGATTCTATTATTCTATGATTCTGTGATTCTATGAAAAGTGACAAAAATCCGACTTGTGAGCATTTTTGCTCCCCTTGCCCTCACTTAATAAAAAGGGAAAATCTCACAGAACATTACTAGTAGTTTCAGCTGCTACAGTTTTCAGATGTAACTCCCCTATAACTACATACTACTGACATAGACATAAATGTGGTTTCTCCTCATTAAGACTTGCACAGAAGGCAAAAAATAATTAAGAAGTGACTAAGAATTTATGGTAAAAGAATGTAATTTCCTTTTGCTGACTTTCTTTAGACCCAAATCAATTAAAATGATATTTTCTTCGTGTTTAGGTGTGAAAACTCGCTCTTATCTGGTTCTATTCCTGTAATACCAACAAAATTGGAAGCCCAGTTGTACTGGGTCTTGTCCAAACACACAATACAAGTTTTGACTTGGAAGAGATCTCTTACAGCATAATTATTGAAAACAGACACAGCAGGAAGAAAGACAGTTTCTTGTTCCCATATCACAGCTGGAGAGCACAGTAAAGGTAAGCGACTTGCCAAAGGCTACACAGAAAGTCTTTATATGTGGAATAAACCTAAATCTTTTAAGTCGCAGCCCAGTCTTGCAGTCACAAAACCATATTTCACTCACCCACCACTTGCTCTGCCACAGTCCATCAGAACTGTGATTTAGAACATCACTGTGGGCAGTGTTACTTCTCGATAGGAATGAGAACAGTTAACCAGTGTATTAATCAAAATAAAGACAAATATTCAGGAAAGCCAGGTGCAGTGTAGATCAGCACCTGGCAGACATAGTTCTGAGGTTACTCATGCAAAGCAGAAACAACCATCGCAATACACAAGAATAGTCTTGGAAAGAAATTTTTCCAAAGTTCTATAACTTTTGTTAGAGTTTCCCCAGAAACTCTAAAAGGAATGGAGCATTGCTATTCATTATTATTATTATTATTATTATTATTATTAAAGGACAAAGGAAAAATATTTGCATTTATCCATCCACACATTCAAATCTTGCCCCTCTATCCCTCATTCCTCCCTCCAATACTGAACACTTTTTTACTGCCACTCAGCACATTATGTCTAAAATTAGAAGAGGAGAAACCCAGGGAAGGGAAGGAAAGGGGAGAAACCCAGTCCTATTAGCCTGGCAAAACTAAAAGAATACTTTTAGGTGCTGTAAAACACAGCAGTTGCAACAAAACCACAATATTTTCATTAGTTTATATATATTATAAGCGCTTTCCTTCAAAGTACACTAATAGTCAGGATTTGCTATCTATCTTTTTTAATGCAATCTGTTTATTCAGGTCATGCAATGAAAGCACCTCTCCCTTTCCCCAGCTACAACCGAAGGCATGAAGGATGCAGCAACATCTTTCGCCTAGCTGGATGTTAAACTAGGATCTGTCCAGCAAAAATAAATTCCTAAGGTTCAAACATCTCAGTGGCCAAAGTCTCTCAAAAGCTGTTCTTTCCTATTGTGAACTATTTCTCCAGTGACAGATGAAGTGCAGTGGCTTGCATTAAGCCCTGGATAGTGATTCTATAACCCTCAATAAAAGAAAAAGTATTTTCATCGTTTGAGCTGTGTGCTATGATACATGCTGTACAAGAGGATGCTGCTGTAGGTAGAGTGTAGCACAAAGCAAAACACAGAGCAATTATATTTGGCCTCTAGTGGATCAATCTGGATCATATAATTGTTCAGGCTGAAAAAAACAGATGGTCTTTCCTCATGCATTCAGTATCAGACAGTAAAACATATGCCTTAGGCAGCAACTTCCCACAAAATTATTCAAGTACTGCCATAGCCTTGTATTTTATCAAAAGCAGCAACTTCCATTTTGTTTCAGCAGTAATCAGTTTTGTTGTAGATCCTTTCATCTTGTTCCGCTGCTCCTGAAAGACTACACTAATTGGAGAAAAGCCAGTTTATGAAAGATAATATAACTCAGAAGCTTTGATATTTAATCAATCTGCTCCTCATAAACTTTTCTTATTGGTTAATTAAGGCCTACCAATTCTCCATTTATTTAATTTTCAGCAGAATTTTACTATATTTTGTGATTTAAGGGTTGTTCACATGGAGATGTCCAGCTTAAAGCAATTGTTAAAACATTACTCAGGGAATATCATAAGGACAAAAAATACACCCATGGAAGATGTTTAAGAGCTATTTTGCCATATTATTTAGTGCTAGAATTAAAATAATCAAAAGTTAACATCTGCAAAGAGTTTTGTGGCCTCTTCTGTAAATAGTAAAAATATATCACTGTTGAAGTGGCACAATTAAGTGATTAGACCACCAGAGTTATGTTCCAGTATTATTTGAGGTCTGATTTAATCCCC